TTATGAATTATCAAAGTTAAAACAACAGTTGGTTCATTCAAATAATGAAATTACAAAATAAAATAAAAGAATTTTTAAGGGATCTTTTTCTTTCTAACGTTTCGCTTTGCTAGGTTCTAATAAATGTAACTAACTTATATTTTGTTCAAATCAGAAAATATAAACGTAAAANTTCATGTACATTGTTCATGTACATTGTACATTGTCAGTACATGTACATGTCATGTACATGTACATTGTCAGTACCTGGTAATCTTTGTTGTCCACGCAGTTCATGTACATTGTACATGTACATTGTACATGTACATTGTACATTGTCAGTACAATGTACATGTCATGTACATTGTACATTGTCAGTACCTGGTAATCTTTGTGTTCCACGCAGTTCATGTAGAGATAGCAGTAGTAATCCTGAAAATGTTCAAGGTTCCATAAAAAAATGATATTAAAAAATCAGATAAGTTTATATGAAAAAATTGTTTTTGAACGGTTAAACTGAAACAATTAATTCAAACATTAATTTTTTGACAAAGGAATTGAGTCTTTGCCACAAACTCTGAGTTTCTAATCACTATATCTTTAGGACCAAATGTTGCAGACCTTAGATATTTCAAACTATGAATTCTGTTAGATTAAATAATCTGAGTTTGAAATATCAAAGGTTTACAACATCGAGTTCTAAAGATATTGAGGTTTAAATATTTGATTTTGTTCCAAAGACTCAATTCCTTTCTAATTAGAAATATGTTACTAATTATATGATTAGTTTACTGTAGACATTTTGTTACATTTTTCTCGTCGTTTTTCAAAAATTTTTAAAAAACCAATTCTCAAAATTATCCCTCAAAATGGACAATCAATGAAGGTTTTGAATATTGAATTTGCGCTCCTGATGAACAAAAATGTAGTGTTAAAATAATAAAATGTCTGATAGGTCTCCACCAAATCCTGATAAAAATTCTCAATAATACTGCAATCTTAGTTCAACTACCATACATTGCCGATCACTCCCTTTAACAAAGAGATCGAGATCTAGCATCGATCTTGATATCTCCACAATCCAAGATCGTTCTAGTTCACCAATTAATAAACACTTCTCGTTCATATATATGATTAATAGTAAAGAGAGATGAGTTGTCTGATACTTCAGATCATTTTTCAAAATTTACGCTAATTTAAACAAAAAATATGTATTTCATTCTTGCAAGTCTAACCCACCCGCAGGACCGGGCCATGCCAGATCCCACAAAATCCCCCGTCCCCCGAATGTTAAAGTAATAATTCCATTTATGATTCATATAAGTTCACAAAAAAAACATACATCTGATCTGATTAACTGTTGATCTGTAAAAATAATTTAATAGGTTTTTTATTTCTATTTTGTCTGTGTTTGTTTATATTTGTAAACTCAGGTTTTTAGAATAATTTGTTTATTACTTCTCCAACGTTCTTAACAGAAATCTGGCAGGACCAGGTTGACCCCGCGGCTAGAATCAGGCTGAGCAGGAAGAGTTTCATCCTTCAAGTTTTATCTTTAACTAAACATAAATTCAGGAGATAACAAAGAAACAAAGAAAACAATATATATAAAAACAATTATTTTAACTATTTGGTTTGGCTATTTTTGTACACTGTATCATATATAGAGTGAATCTACTTTGCGACCCAGAAGTATTTGCAGTCTCATTTTTTTTCTACTTATGTGTTGTTGAGAGGCCTAAAACTAAGGGAAAAGTTTTACTTTTAAGATTTCAGTTTATGCTTGTCTTTCTGTGACAGAACAAACAAACTAAATTTTTTTGACGACAGTGTTTAAAATTTAGATAGATTGAACTGATTTAAAACTGAACTGTTTACATTAACCACTTATTTTTGACTAAAATTGTTGATTTTGATATTTCCAACAACTTTACATCAGAGTACTCTGTGAAATAAAGTGTTCTTACACAGACTGAATATGTAAACTGCAAACAGTTTTTGGTGGTCGCGCTGCATATGTAAGAAAGTCACGGGAAAAACTGTTTGGAATCTGAAAATAAAAATTCCTGTAGAAACGTCCAATTTCCTGAAGTTTTTGTACGAAATGTCTCAGGAATTAAAGTCATGGATTTTGGATTCCTTGGTCTTGTCCTAGAAAAGTAAGTCTTAACATAATAGGACTTACTTTTCAAAGACCTTTCAGTCGGGGAATTCTTCCTAAGGACTTTTTCAAAGGGTTATTTTTTATGTTTTTTTTTCGAAAAAATTTTCAAGGAAAATTTCTTGACGGATACTGTACAAGGGAGGGAACCCCCGGACGCCTGAGCCTCCACCGTGCAGACATGAGCCTCCCTGAATTGCTAGGCAGACCGAGCCTCCGCCATGCAGTAAAAGCCTCTGCTATACAGTAATCGAGCCTCCGCTATACAACATAGCTTCCTTATAACACATGGTTTTTACTTGTTATTTAGATTTTTTTTTATCAGCATAGTGGCACAAAAATTTTACTTAAGATTAATGTTGTTTTTTGATTGTCATGATTTGTAACTTATATTGACTCATAAAGTAGTTTATAAGATTTATGTTATTCAATAAAACATTTCTTACGCAGTTGGGAGGCTATTCATTTATAAATTGAACTTAGTTGATTTTCTTTAAATCTTTAATTTAATCAATACCTTCTTTCCGAAATTTTTTAAGATTCAGATTTTTGTCAATGTCAAAATTTTGACTATCTTAATCTGATAAAAATTCCAACAAAAGGAATCACTTGAATCAAAGATCACAAAATATCTAATAGAATTACTTTCAGAATTTTTTTTCTAAATGTTTTCCTTTTAGCGTAAAAAATGTTTGAAGTTTTCTAAACCACTTTACGTACTAGTCATTAATTAGTCACTTGTTATAATAATTGATCAGTACTTCTGATCTTTGATAAACTTGCTATGGTCGGTCTGCCTAGCAAATCTGGGAGGCTCGTGTCTGCATATCAGATGCTCATGTGTCCGGGGGTTCCCTACCTAGCCGTACAAAGTATATGAATGAATAGAAAACGTTCCAACTAAATTCCAACAGTCCAAAAAAGGAAATTTCGCAATTTTTAGCAATTTTATGTTTTCCTTGTTTTCTTTTTGAAGAAAAAAAAACGCGTTTTATAAAAGAATATTAATAAATCAGTACTTTCTTACTATTATTTCATACTTTTTAAAGGAGAACTTCCACATTAGTCTGAAAATGTTTCTCTATTTACGCCCCGATAAAAAATGTGTTGATTTTAATATTTCCTTTAATTTTATAAACACCTATTTAAAATCTGGTTTTTATTGATAAAAACAAATCTGTTTGTTTTACCTTTATCTTTATAAAGATAAAACAGTACATGTGTTCAACATTGACATGTTTCTTCATCTTCTATGCAATAAAGCTCTTTGCTTTTATATATATATTTATTTATATGTTCGCTATAGCTGGACCAAATGCTGCTGATATGATTGAAGGAACCGCGATGGGTTTTAAAAAATTCTACGAGGAACGACGGGCACTGATCATAATTTAACACCAACCGTGGGAGTAACTTTGACTATAAATAATAAACTTGGGCAACGCCGGTTTCTCTATAGTTAGTCTTTATATTTCAAATAGAACAAATTTGGCAGAAACATATTAAACTCCAATACTGATTTAACTGTTGTTCTTATCCCAGGGGGGGCTGTCACTTTCGAGCCTAATTTTACAATTAAAACATACATTTTCGTTTTTTGTCTTTTTTATTCAATCAAAAAGTAGCCGACAACTTTTCAAAAATCGTTGAATTTAAATTNGGGGGGGGGTTTAAAGGGACTGTAAGCATAATTTGAAATGACATTCCTTGCAAAGATGTCAATGCCCCATATACAACGGTATCCATGCAACATGACTTCTATTAAAAGTTGCATGAATTTTCAAGACTTTGATTTTACCTTACAAACTCACGTATACTTTTTTAGCCCTGGACACGTAGATTTTAGAACTTTACACAAAAAATAGCCAAAATTCTCTTTAAATTTTGAGTTAGAGCTTGCAACCTTGAATCGCTGTGCTAATTATATATAATTAAGATTAGAAAAAATATACTTTAAAAAAAATTAATATTTTCGACTAAATTGTTTAGATATTTTAAAATAATATTTTTTGATTTTTTCAACAAAATTGTTCCAAAGTTTTTTTTTATTCAACAATATGTTTTACTGTATAATCATTTACATTTTCACTTTATTTCCTTATTTTTGATTTATGTGAATTGAATTTAAATCAATTCTTACAATTTGATGTCTTCCTTTCAATTGTGAATTTTTCTTATTTTGGATTTTTTTCTGTTAAAGACAGTCTTGTCCTTGATCTTATGACCCTCTATGCAAATATGACATTACTAGATTCATAACGTTATCCTTAAAAGCTTTGTCTGATCAATTGTATGAATTAAACATTAATGTTTGTAATTGTAAAAACTGAATATTTTCAATTGTGGTTTCTCTACAAAAGTGGTTTGCCCGTTTTATACTTGGAAATATTAGCTTTTCAAAAATTTGTTTCACTTAGGAAAATAATAATATTTTCCATATTATTAATCAAAGAAAGGTTTCAAGCTGGTACCCCGTTGTAAGCAGGGCATTGCCATCTTCGCATAAAGGATCACTTGAAATTACACTTAAAGCCCCTTTAACATTTACTTTTAACATGTCTGTAAATTAAAAACTTGCTGTGTACTGTGTCTAAATCCCAGTATATACCACATATGCTCATCTATAGCTTAGCAACAGTTTGCATCTTGGACAGTGGATAAACGATATCATAAAAACATTAAAAAAATATAGATGTTTATCAAAAAGTAATGTAATGCGTAACTCAACAGTAGCGTTTTTTACACTCAAAAGTAAAGGAATTGAGTCTTTGTCATTAATTCACATTTTATAATCCCTATATCTTTGCAGTCTGCAGATGGCGTAAACCTTTGATATTTAAGGATTCTAAAATTAGTGTTTGTGGCAAAGACTAAATTAATTTGTATTCTCTGTCACTTTTAGAAAGTAACTATTGATATTTCTGAAATATATAACAGCAAACACAAAAAAGTTCTTATAATAGCTATTAAAAGCGTTCCAGTAGATTCATAAGGATATGTCCGACATTCTTGATCTGTCAAAGGTTTAAAGGGTACCGTTGAGAATATGGAAGGTCACTTAAAATTAGGCTTACAGTCTCTTTAAGTCAATTAATTTTCAATTTTTCAGAGAAAACATGGGGGCTCATCAGAGTTTGGAAATCAATGCAGACATGGCCATCAGAGCTAGGATCACAGAAACAGCTAACTTTGATTTCAGGCAAAATATTACAATTGTTATTTCACTTGATTTATTTTCAAATTTGCCTTATCTTGAAATATTGATTCTTATCCCAACAATTGATAAGAATTTGGATTTTCACGAAAAAATACTAATTTTAAGATAAAAATAGTTTTGAAATTGATAAAATATTATTAATAACAATATAAAATAATTGTGATGTTGTTTTACAGGAATGAGACATTAGACAAAAGTAAATTAGGAAAATAATTTAGATCATTTTTATCCAATTAAAGTGTTGAAGATTACTTTTTAAAATACTCGTTAAAAATCTTGAAATACTTAAAACTATATATTTCAAAATGTGTACTAGCTTCCCACCCCTCTTTCTGGTGGTGATTTTGAATTAAAAATGTTTGTTTGCTGCAACATTTTTTTTTCGTGCATTATGAAATAAACAGGAATACTATTGAATGTTGCAGATTTATGTCATTTTTGTTCAATTTTGCAAAATAAAAAAATTTTGGAATATAAATTCCCAACAAAACTTTGGCGGTCGGTTCAGCCGTTTCCAATTCACTGTGATCTTGCCAGGCTTGCATTTGTTGCATAAAACGTGCTGGATCGACTCTACACTGGGAAGCCTGACTGGACGGTACGACTGAATGCATGTATAGTACTTGTTATAACTTGTACCGGCACGAATCATGCAACTATTAGATTGGGATGAATTCTATAAAATTTTTTAAAAAGCGGCATCAATATATACAATGATAAAAATGATCTGAATTGTGTAGAACGAACATTTTCCGAACCTTTAAACAGAAAAGAACTCTGGGTTGAGGAGGAAGGTACAAAAAACTTCTTTTTACCTATTTTATTTTTTATAGCCAACCCCCCCCCCCCCCCACGGCTTTGAGGGATTTTTTTTTATTCAGTCTTTGGGGTTCCTGAAAATTTGATGTTTAACTTTAAAACTCTTCTTAAAAATTGACTGAAGTTAATTTTTTTGATATTAATATATAATATATTAATATATTATATATTAATATATAATATATTAATAAATTAATATTTATATATTAATATATAAGATTTAACTTTTTCCTGGTAAATAGATAAGCACTGACTCCATTAATAAATATGTTTGTTGGTCCCGCACTCTCATATAACAATAGTTATTCTGGACACCCAATCCCCCCATCACCGTTTTCTGAAAAATAGAAGCCTCCCATTGTTAAACTTTTAAATGTTAGGTTGGTTACGATGAATGTATAGTCACGAGAATTTGCTCTAGTCTCGTTATTTGCTCTAGTCTCGTTATTTGCTCGTTAAATCATAAAGGAATTGAATCTTTGCAACAACTCTAATTTTCTATCTTTGCAACCCAATGTTGAAGACTTTTGCCAGTTTTAAACTATGAATTCTGTTAGATAATCTAAGTTTGAAATATCTAAGGTTTTCCTCATCAGGTTGCACATCTATAGGGGTTAGAAAATTAAAGTTTGTGGCAAAGACTCAATTCCTTTATGATTAAACCAACCAAACCTAAAATTATACTTTAATCTCTTGTGGTACTTTTTAGATATGGAGGGGGGGGGGGGCGTGGGACGGGAGCCAAAAAAATCTTGTTTAATCTTATATTGTGCGAAAATCATTGCCGAAAAGTCTCGAAGCACACAGTATAAAAATTTACTTCAGTAAAGCACTCGGTTTACTTTAGCTTCAATGTTATTATAGCCCTGTACAGTACTGTAATGTTATTATAGCCCTGTACAGTACTGTAATGTTATTATAGCCCTGTACAGTACTGTAATGTTATTATAGCCCTGTTCTCTGTAGTAGTTGGTGATGAAATCAGTGCTGGACACAGGAACGAATCCTTCCTGAATTGGACAGCATTCTCAGAGAGACTAGAAGCCAACAAACATTCAGGTACCACTGCAAACTAAATATAAGGAGAAGGTTAAATCTAGGCGACAATTCTGATACAACTTTGGGATCTCGTAGCTCCGCTATTTATAATTCCACGCGCGCCCAAGAGTAACATAAAAAAAACTCAAAACATTTTGTTCTTCTCAATAGCTCAGAGTTTTTACATGCAATCAAATGAAAATCTAAACTGACTAACCAACCAACCCAATAAAACCTCCCACCACCCAACCTGACTAACCAGCCAACTAAATCGACCACATCAAGAGTCTTCTAAAACCATTGTCGTTATTTTTTGTATCTTAACTGTACGCAAAGAAACAAAAAACCCTCCTATTAAAGGGACCAAAGGCGGACACAGGGGGGTGGCGGGGGGACATTCGCCACCCCCTGACAGATTTAGGGAGGGGCGTAGCCCCCCCCTGAGATTTCGAGGCAAAAAATGTTCCCAATTTGTTAAATCGTATGTGTTTTTCAATTTTAAGCTATTTGATTATTTTTTATTTAATGGAAATATAATAATTAATATTTATTGAAAAATTGAATCATCAGAAGAGAAGGACGAAAAAAATATTTTTCTAGCTTGTTAAAAATAAATATAAGTTTTTAACCAATGATGTAAGTATACGACGACAGACATTGTGTTTACTGTTTTGTTTTATTGGTACGCGGCACACTGCACATTTTGAGTCTTTTCTTCAGTTTAATTTAAAAATCAACGACAACAAGTAAATGTTATTGTTAACGATAAATTTAGAATGAGAAATTCGTAAGAAACTAGTAATTTCTTTTTGTTCTTAAATTGCTAATGTTCCTATTATTGTTCCTGTTCCTAATACTGTGTCCGACCCACCTGAAATCCCTGTCCTAATCCTATATTTTTGTTCCTGATTCCTGAACAATCTTTTTATTGTTCCTAAATCCCTGTCCTAATCCTTTAATTTTGTTCCTATTTCCTAAACAATCTTTTTATTGTTCCTAAATCCCTGTCCTAATCCTTTAATTTTGTTCCTAATTATCAATTTTTTTGTTCCTAAAAAATCTTGCCACCCCCTCACTTAAATCCTGTGTCCGCCCCTGTTTAAGGGACTTTATATAAGCGTAAGTTTAAGTGACCCTGCATGCAAAAATGTAGTGGTCGATTCAAACGGTACCCCCTAAAAAGCTTTGTCAAATCAAATTTGAATGTCAATTTTTTTTATTTTGGATTTGGATTTGCACATAACTACAGGAAAATATATCAGACTTAAATACTTTTAAACCTAGAAAAACGACAGTATCTTTCACATCATTGATCAGATAAAGGTTCAATAGTACCATCCCTTTAATAAATTTTCTGTCTAGGTCGAGGCAGTGCTAAGACATCATCTAGTTCTCGTGTATCCTGTACAAGCTGGTCTAGTACGGAGAGTGGGTATGATATAGCCAGGGATATCGAGAAAACTGATTATAAAGACAAAGGTAAGATTTGAATACATTTCTACAAAACATGAAATAAGGTTTACAGGGTGCTTCGCGCAAATTTTGTGGCAATAATCATATCCTTTCTTAGTCGTCCATATCTTCTTAGAGATGTGCATCGTTCTTTCTTAGTCGTCCGTATCTTCTTAGAGATGGGCCTTTCTTAGTCGGACATATCTTCTTAGAGATGAGCCTTTCTTAGTCGGACATATCTTCTTAGAGATGAGCCTTTCTTAGTTGGCCATATCTTCTTAGAGATGGGCCTTTCTTAGTCAGCCATATCTTCTTAGAGATGAGCCTTTCTTAGTTGGCCATATCTTCTGAGATATTTGCTTTTCTTAGTCGGCCATATCTTCTTAGATATGGGCATCATTCTTCCTTAGCCGCCATATCTTTCTTAGTCGGCCATATTTTGAGCGTTCAGAGGAATAAAAAAAATTTTAAATCCCAAAAACTCGTTCGTTCTGTTAAAAATCAAGCCTCAGGCTGGAAAAAATAGTTTAAGACCAATTTAAAAGAAAAGAAAAATTTTATGTGTATTGATCTTTTTTTGAGAAGATTATTTTGTTTAGGATCCATACGAGGGGTAGCTCATTTTGACTCTGATATTCCGGAATCTATATCCAACATGGATCCCACCACGTGCTCATCTTCAGACTTTTGTTCACAATTTACTTCCGGTTCAAACTTTCAGTCAAGTTCAGGCTTTAGTTCACATTCAGGGCCTCACTTTCCAGCAAGAAGATAGGAGTCCGGGTCCTAAATATACTAGGAGATAGGAGTCGTCCTAAATATACTTCGAGATAGGAGTCCTGGTCCATTATATACTTGGAGATAAGAATCCGGGTACAAAATATACTTGGATAAAGGAGTCCTGGTCCTAAATATACATGGAGATAGGAGTCCCTAGTCCTAAATATACTTGGAGATAGAAATGCTGGTCCTTAATATACTTGGAGATAGGAGTCCGGGTACAAAATATACTTGGATAAAGGAGTCCTGGTCCTAAATATGCATGGAGATAGGAGTCCCTAGTCCTAAATATACTTGGAGATAGGACTGCTGGTCCTAAATATACTTGCAGATAGGAGTCCTGGTCCTAAATATAATAGGAGATAGGAGTCCTGGTCCAAATAAACTTGGAGATGGGAGTCCTAGTCCTAGATATACTTGGAGATAGAAGTCCTGGTCCTAAATATACTAGGAGATAGAAGTCCTGGTCCTATATATAATCGAAGATAGGAGTCCTAGTCCTAGATATACTTGGAGATAGGAGTGCTGGTCCTAATTATACTTGGAGATTGGAGTCCTGGTCCTAAATATGCTAGGGAATAGGAGTCCTGGTTCTAAATATACATGGAGATAGGAGTCCTGGTCCTAAATATACATGGAGATAGGACTGCTGGTCCTAAATATGCTAGGAGATAGGAGTCCTGGTCCTAGATATACATGGAGATAGGAGTCCTGGTCCTAAATATGCTAGGAGATAGGAGCCCTGGTCCTAAATATACTTGGAGATAGGAGTGCTGGTCCTAAAACGGCTCACTAACATCTTGCCATATAACATTTCGCCATATGACATTTCGCCATTTAACAACTCGCCATAAAACAACTCGCCTAAGTAACATTTTGCCATATCACTAGAACTCGCTTATATATAAATTTTTAAATTAAATTTTATAAGTGTAAATAAAATGATACCGGAAAATCCACGAATCAAAAACCAAAAATCTGCAAATACAGTAATTCCAACAATGTCGGGAGTACTGCACGCATTTACAACTCAACTACTAATAAACTACTACTTTCTACTAAATAAAATTTAATATTTTGTTTTTTGTTGATATATGGCAAAATGTTACTTAATTTGGCGAGTTGTTATATGGCGAAATGTTAATGTTATATGGAAATGTTATATGGCGAAATGTTAATGTTATATGGGGAAATGTTAATGTTATATGGCACGAAATGTTCTATGGTTCAATGTTTTATTGCGATCTATGTTACTGTCATGTTCTTAAATATTTTTCCACTTTTTATAGGTTTAATAAAGTAATAAAATGAACATACCATTAAATGTATGTAATTATTTAAGCATAAATTTTAAAAGAATATCAATGTGATTTTGTTAAAATATTTTAATGAAATAAAAAATTATTTATTCACTAGCCTGAGTTTTTCAGAAATTAAGAATTTTTAGTAATAATTTTAGGTGTTTATTGTTTCTCTTTAAGCTGCCATTTTTCTTTGAAATTCGAATTTGCGGAGTTTTCTGACTAAATTGCCGCATTAAAAACAAATATTGAGGTTTAACATTATTATCTGGGAAAAGCTATTCATCTTAAACCATCCATAAACCTTCCTTGGGGTCATGTGAGTTGCCAAAAAAAAAATTGGACTCGATCCCTTCAGCCGTTCTTAATGAAACAGACAGACTGACAGAAAGGCCGACAAAAATGCAAAGTTGTTAACACAAATTCGAAATATAAGGAAGACGATTCTGTGTAGTCTTTATGTGTGAGGGAGGGGGGGCCATGCGGCCATGAACCCCGCAATATCCTGTTCGAACCCAGGTAGTTAGCAGAACCCTGTTCGAACCCCGCAGAAGCCTGCTCCAACCCCGCGAAAGCCTGTTCGAACCCACCAATTTCCAACCAGCTGTCTTGGGAAAATATTTCAAAATGTTGACCTTAAAAGTCATAATATTAAAACAAAGAGAAAAGCATATTTCTGAACATTTATTTAAAAACGAAAGTGTTTTGAAATATTTTTGTAGAAAATAAAGTCTCGAATTGGTAGGACTTTATTTCCGAAGACTTTTTAATAAAAGGACTTTTTCCACAGGACTTTTTTAGTGTGAAAGTTTAGGATTTTTTTCCGGAAACTTTTTTTCCAAGGACTTTTTTGGCGGTTACCCCCCCCCCCTGGGTATCTAGGACATACAAGTCAAACTACAGACCAGCCAGTCCAACCACAGACCAGGACGGAGAATTGCTACTCTTGAGGGACAGTTTAGACATTACAACAATATGGACCTTTTCCTTCATGAATGAGAGTACAGGGATTCAGAGTGAAATATTTGTGCACACCCCAACCTTGGGAGCAAATGATTAATCTCGAAATCCCTAGGATTTACATCTGGATTGTATTCGATTAAACCCATAAATCATTACATTATGCTATTCTGTTTCAAAATTTTATAAAAATGTATTAACAAATGAAAAAGATATTGAAAAAAATTTTCGAAATATTTGTAGTGGAAATCTCTACACCAAATGTTAAGCAATAAAACATCAGATTTCGAATAAAAAAATTAGTTAAAAGAACAAGTTTTTTTATAATTTAACCTGGAACTTTGGAGCCATCGAAAATATTTATAAAATAGCGTCTTGACAATTGTTCAATGGGTTTTTAACTTTACCTTAATCTCCGTAATTGTAAACATGAATAGGTAGCCAACGTGGGAACAGGTTTAAAGGGATCAATTCAATTATTGAATTAAGAAAACTGAATATCTGCAGCATTCCATTATCAATAGGTTTAGAAACAACATTGCGATTTTTCTAAACCTGATAACTTTGCAACCTGATGGCGCAAACTTTTGATATTTTAATATCTTAGATCTACAACATTGGATCACAAAGATATTGCAATTTGAAAATTAATTTTTTAATTATTTCCTGTAGAACAAGAACTAAATGTTGAATTGAACCCCGTCCCCAGGTTGCTATAGATATATATAAACATGCCCGTGTACATTTATAATTTATGATTTCATGTTTTAAGATATCAACTAGCCAGGTTTTTATTAAATATTTAATATGTTTACATTTAATAGTTTTATGGAAAAACCAAGTTTAGAACAGTTTAAAGGGACTGTCGAGGCAAATTTAAGTAATTAATTTTTTTAAATGTTTATATAGCAAGAAATCTGCAAATAACTGAAAAGTGCAATTAAAAAAACAATTGTTTACAGAGAAATAACGGATAAAGGATATCTCATTCAGTCATGATCCGTCAAAGCTCTAACAGGCATTGGTTTAAATCGGACACTCTGTAAATTGAGAATTAAATGGAAATTTCGTGAACTGTCCCATTAAGTTCAAGAACATGGAAGAATCTTTGATCAATTTGTTTACATGCACCCAGAAACCTGCAGTATACCATTTTGTAACCAAATATATTATGGTACCTGACGTGCATTCTTTAGCCGGAACAAAGATTATATGTTTCCTGACGTATATTCCTTAAATCGAAGATATGATGGTTCCTGACGTACATTGATTGAAACAAATAGATGATGGTTCCTGACGTGTATTCCTTGGAACAAAAATTTTAATTTTCATGACGTATATTTCTTGAATTGAAGATATTATGGAGGACGTAAGGTCAGTCTCCAATAACACGAGGAATCTTTCTCCAGTATATATTTAGTTTATAAGAATAACAATAGTTTATGTAGCGAGAGAAATATATCGATCGAAATCACATCTGTAAAACTTGAGAGAATGCAGCGTAGGATTCTTTAGCTTCCTTCTTTGTTCCCGGCTTTGCTGTAAGGAGGCCGCCGGGTCTCGTCTTCCACAGTAACACCCCCCCCCCAGCGTAGAGGCCGGACGTTGACCGGAGGATAAGCGTCTAATCTGTGTTAATCTCCTATTATCACTGGAGTAAGTTTAAAAATCACTTTTTTCCTCCTAGGAAATATAACAGTTGAGGCTGAGGCTGCAGTTTTCCTTGGTCTTCCTCAAGGATGAGCTGGAACAGGAGGAGGAGGATCTGGTGGAACTCTACAAGGAGGACGTCCATGACGTGGTGGTTCGGCTGGTTTCTCTTCATCAGAGGTAATAGCTGGTTTCAACCTCTGCACAGAAACCACCTCTACTCTATTTCCAACCTGGAGAGATAGAACTTTATAAGGTCCTTCATACAGAGGAGATAGAGGGGGAAAGTGTCCATCTCTGCAAACCAAAACCATGGGACAAGTTGCCAGAGATATTGGAACCTGTTGGGGAAGATCTGGAACTTCGGGAGTGTTGTGACGAGCAGGAACTGGACCCAGGAGACCCAGGAGAACCCAAGGTAAAGACTGTACCAGTCAGCAGCTGCCAGCCGAGCTCGTAGAGAGTTTTTAAGCTGCCTGTGGAATCTCTCAACCATACCATTGGCTTGTGGATGAAAAGCTGTGGTTTTATTGTGGATGATACCCAGCAAGGAAAAGATGGCTGACCACAAGGAGGAGGTGAATTGTGCTCCTCTGTCACTCGTGATAATTGCTGGTACTCCGAACCGTGCAATCCAACCGTGGAACAAGGCAGAGGCACAATCTGTTGCTGAAATACCTTGGAGAGGAAATGCTTCCGGCCAGCAAGTAGATCTGTCCACACAGGTCAACAGGTACGTGAAACCCTGAGAAGGTGGTAGAGGACTAACTAAATCCACATGAACATGTGAAAACCTTTCTCTGGTCGGAGCTGAACATGTCGGAGGACTTTTCCACGCTGGCAGGAAAGGCATGCACGACACAAATCTCTCACATCGTTGGCTAGCCCACGCCAGACAAGGGCTGACTTGGCTTTCTCGAAGGATTCTTGATGAGTTTCTGACCAGTTTAATGATTTAGGGTTACCAGCCAGGGCATTTGTTAGAGGACGGAGAATCTTTGCAATACCAGGAAGAAATCTCCTGTCGAAATTGACCATGCCAAGGAATCTCTGCAAGGAACATACATCTTGAGGGTGAGGTTGCTGAAGTAGTGCTTCAACATGACGGCGGAGTGGAACGATTCCTGTGGCAGTAATCTTGTGACCGAGATAATCAATTTCTGGGAGAGCAAAACTGCATTTCTTGAGGTTGTGACCAAACCATTCTGTACTAGGAGCTCCAGGACAACTCGGAGATGCTTCAGGTGAAGACCTCGACCATGGCTCGCCACAAGAATGTCATCAAGGTAAATAAAAACAAAAGGTAAACCTTTAAAGATCCGGTCCATGAGGCGTTGGAAGGTCTGTGCAGTGTTTTTCAGGCCAAAGGGCATGGACAGGAACTCAAATAAACCAAAAGGTGTAACAATGGCGGTTTTACAAATGTCTTCACTATTCATTGTACCAATGTTGATAGCCTTTCACTAAGTCCAGTTTTGAAAAAACTGTACAATGTTTCAAATTGTTTGTGAAATCCCGGATATTTGGCAAAGGATAACGATCAGGCTTGGTCACATTGTTCAAACGGAGATAATCGCCGCAAGGACGCCAAGAACCATCAGGTTTAGGAACCATGTGTAGTGGAGAGGCCCAGGGACTGTCGGAACGTCGTATAATTCCCGCCTCTTCCATCTTACGAAACTCAGTTCTTGCAGACTCCAACTTCACTTGATCCAATCGGCGGGCACAGTCAAAGAGTGGTTGACCTTCAGTTTCGATGACGTGTTCCACCTTGTGACCAGGAAGTTGACCAGGTTGACGAGGTTCCCAAGCAGCAGGGAATTCCTTCAGAAGGGAGGAGACATCAGGGGCAAGTTTAAAAACTGAAGTGACGGCAGGATCGGCAGTTGACATGACTGGAGAGGACGCATTTTTACATAAATTTTTCGTAGAGGTTTTGGCTCTTTTTACGTCATGAAAGATGTAAAATCGCACACTTAGCTACGCAAATTTATTGAATTTAATAGACGTAAAATTTACGTAATAATATTATACAAAATTACACCAAACATGCGCATTTTTATTTTCTCAATTACCAAAACTTATTCAATGTTTGATGCATGCAGATAGGCCATCCATCCCTGAGTAGGTATGGAACTCTCTCTGAACTGTTTCCATTCAACCGGGAATACAGTTCAACATAGAGATTATAGCGTAAGGCTTTATACTTATATTAGAGTTATAAAAGTTATATAAAACTTTTTGATAGAAAATTCAGGAGTCACGGAAGTTCGTAGTAAGATTTTGACTCCACTGGAGACCACCGGAGGGAATTTTTTTTATTATAATTCCACTGGAGGGATAAAGTTATTCTTCCAAGGGGTTTATAATTCCACTGGAGGGATTCAGATATCTTTCCAGGGGGTTTATAATATTACTGGAGGGATTCAGATATATTTCCAGGGGGTTTAAAATTCCACTGGAGGGATTCAGATGCCCTTCCTAGGGGTTTATAACTCCACTGGAGGGATTCAGATATCCTTCCAAGGGGTTTTTAATTCCAGTGGATTTATAAACTCCCTGGAAAGATTTCTGAATCCCTCCAGTGGAATTATAAACCCCCTAGAAAGATATTTAAATCCCTCCAGTGAATTTATAAACCCCCTGGAAAGATATCTAAATCCCTCCAGTGGAATAATAAACCCCTAGAAAGGATAACTGAATCCCTCCAGTGGAATTATAAACCCCCAGGAAGGATAACTGAATCCCTCCAGTGGAATTATAAACCCCTAGGAAGGATAACTGAATCCCTCCAGTGGAGTTATAAACCCCTAGGAAGGATATCTGAATCCCTCCAGTGGAGTTATAAACCCCTAGGAAGAATATCTGAATCCCTCCAGTGGAGTTATAACCTCCCAGGAAGGATATCTGAATTCCTCCAGTGGAATTATAAACCCCTTGGGAGGAGTAACTGAATCCCTCCAGTGGAATTATAAACCCCCAGGAAGGATATCTGAATCCCTCCAGTGGAATTATAAACCCCTAGGAAAGATATCTGGATCCCTCCAGTGGAATTATAAACCCCTAGGAAGGATAACTGAATCCCTCCAGTGGAATGTGACTAAAGTTTTAAATTGTGAAAAGCATTTTTTGAAACCCCTCCAGTGAAAATGAAATCCCTCCGGTGGTCTCCAGTAGAATCAAAATCTTACTACAAACTTCTTTGAGTCAAAATTCAGTGCATTTTCCAAATAAAAATGTTTTATTTAAAAAAATTAAAAATAATTTAAAACCCAAATCTTGACTTCTAAATGATATACTTTAGTGAGAAATTTAATCTGAACCTTTTTACTTTTTTCAAATTTTACATGATACAACCAGAGACACCTAGCGGTTAAATTTGGTACTAAAAACCAGTGTGCTATATAGCACTTTAAATTCTCTGCCAATTACCCCCTTCCCACTCTTATCTTCAAATCACACGGCTTTCTATTTAATATAACATTGCTGCACTCTGCACAATGCACACACACCTGGGCCACTCAATTCTTCAATATTTAAAACACTCAAAACATATGCGTAAAAAGAGCGCAATTTTTACGCAATTTTAATGCTAACAAGAACAACTTAAATTCTTTTTAAAAGTTTATTTTTTCAATTTTTTTGGAAAATGCAATATATGCCGTATCGGAAATTTTAGATATTTCACAAATACTTTATATTTAGAGTTTTAGGGAATAACGCAAATTGAGCGTATTTTTACGCAATTTGTATACCTGAAATAAAATGATACACATCTCCACAAATTCATGATATTTTTACTTAAAGCTGGATTATAAAATATTTTCTTTAGAAAAATTAGATATTTACACTAATTTGAAATCTAGTCTTACGCAAATTTGCGTTTTAATTGCGTAATTGGAGCCAAAATTATATGCGTTTACGGTGCTTACGCAATTTGGATAGCTGGGTAAGGAGGCCGCCGGGTCTCGTCTTCCACAATATGATGTTTCCTGACGTACATTCATAGGAACAAATAAATGATGGTTCCTGACATACATTTCTTGAATCAAAGTAAGATTTAAAGTAACGCATAAAATATTATGTAAAGTTGCAGTACATAAGGTTTTATTTAAACATTTCAAAAATAAAATTTTTAAGTAAAATTAATATTTTTCACCTTTAAAAGGGATGAAGCCAAGGATAAATAAATGGGCGTCAGACATTATAGAGATCCGACGTATAGAAATCCTACGTATAGAAATCCTACGTATAGAAATCCTACGTATAGAAATCAAACATTATAGAAATCCAACGTAAAGAAATCCAACGTATAGAAATCCAACGTATAGAAATCCTACGTATAGAAATCCTACGTATAGAAATCCTACGTATAGAAATCCTACGTATAGAAATCCTACGTATAGAGATCCAACGTATAGAGAATAGAAATCAAACATTATAGAAATCCAACGTATAGAAATCCAAAGTAAAGAAATCCAACGTATAGAAATTGTGCGTATAAAAATCTAACATATAGAGATCCTACATATAGAAATCTATCGTATAGAGATCCAACTTATAGAGATACAACGTTTAGAGATCCAACGTATAAAAATCCAACATATAGAAATCCATCTTATAGAAATCCAACATATAGAGATCCTACATAAAGAAATCCAACTTATAGAGATCCAACGTTTAGAAATCCAACATATAGAGATCCTACGTATAGAAATCCAACATTTAGAGATCCTACATATAGAAATCCAACTTATAGAGATTCAACGTTTAGAAATCCAACGTATAGAAATCCAACGTGTAGAAATCCAACGTATAGAAATCCAACGTATAGAAATCGAACGTATAGAAATCCAGCGTATAGAAATCCAAGATATAGAAATTGCTAGGCATAGCACCATGGCGTACTTTTGGGGTTAACCTTTTTTTATATTTTTGAGAATTTTTTTTACTTCATTTAAGACGACATGTAACTTTACATGAAGTAAAACAGTTGCGGGGGAGCTAAAACTTTTTAATAACTACTCAATGATAAGTACAGATGCCCTTTAGGTCGGTTTCCTCTCTTCATTAACGATCGTTAACGAAGGGTCGTCGTTAACGATCGTGTACGAAAATTGAGTTTTTACGATCGTTTTAAAATTATCGTTTTAAAAACGACCAGTATTAAAAAACGAACTTTTTATAAAAACGATCGTTTCGTTTTCGATTTTTCGTCGTCGTTTTCATAACGAAATGATCGTTTTTCAAAAAATGAAATCGTTTACATCCCTACTGACGTTAAACTAAAGTGAATTGCAAGTAAAAAGTATATCTGTTATTTTCAAACAAAACTCCTCCGATCAAAGAGCATTGGAGAAGAACAATTGAATGTTTCGAATTTTTAATACGCAGCCGGTTAAATTTGTATTTCTAATACTTGTGCGTAAAATCAAAACTGGAGGGGCTACGAGGTAACAAAGCCGTACCATTAGTGTACAAAACAAATTACCTTCTATTTCCTGTTTTCAATGGACTGTCCCTTTTATTTAAATCGAATATTCATTAAATTCTCGAAAAACAAATAATAAGCCTGGAAGACTATGCAAATAGAGCTTTCTACCCTCTGTCCTTTCCAAAGCATTGCTTGAGTTCCAACCCTCAACATGTTTTTTCTCCTCCTTCTTCTATTTTCTTTTACAGGGTAATAACAAAGGAACTGAACACCTGCCAACAAATTTTCTGTTTTTTCATAGTTTTGCATCCTGATGTCGAAGCTGTGAATTCGATGAGATTAAACGGTTAAAATTAAAAATATCAAATGTCTAGTTATACCTATATCATCATCAGGTTACAAAGAACAATTGATTCTACAAGCTACAGTTTGGCGGCAAATTTTCTGTTATGTCTCTCTAAGGAGAACTTAAAAGTGGAATAGATTTTGACCCGGAAAAGCATATTTGATTCTGAATCTTTTTTTGCGGTAATTGTGAACCAAGAATTGTCATCCCACATTGCCATTTATTGTTGTCAATTGCGGGACTTTATGTTATTCAACTGGATCATTGAAGGGACTGTAAAGGAAAAAGGAAAGTGATAGTATTGGATGAAACCTGAGAATCTCAGGTTTTGAACGTTACCTATAAGACATCTGTTATGTTCCTGTCTCGAGAAGTTGACATAAAACTGTGTTAAAATTATACCAAAACGGGCATATGTCAGATTTTGTATAAAAGTTGTAGTATTAAACAGATCAAAGTCAACAATTACGCAACCAATCTGAAAACGACTATATCTCACAGCAACCTGAAAATCTCAGGTTTGCTCCTGTTATAATTATTCAATGTTTATTTTGCATTTTTTATAGATATAATTGATTATACATTTAATCCGTATAGTCTGTAGTACGTCACTAGTTTTTCAGCCAATGGCAGTGCAGTATACTGGTCACGTGATTTCCGTCTATACCATGTGACAACGATACTGCATTGGCTGAAGTTATTGTGACGTAATACAGACTAGATGGACTATATGTAATAATAATATCAATTATATCTATTAAAAATGCAAAAAGCAAAATAAAAAATTATAATATGAGCAATCTTGAGATTCCCAGGCATCCTGTGGGATATAATCGTTTTCAGATTGGTTGTGTAATTGTTGAATGTGATCTGTTTAATACTACAACTTTTATACAAAATCTGGCATATGCCCGTTTTGGTATAATTTTAACAAAATTTTATGTCAATTTTTCGAGACAGGAACATAAGATATGATGTCTTATAGGTATCGTTCAAAACCTGAGATTCTTAGGTTTCATGTGAGGGGTCATGCGAGGTCCCACAACAACTTTGGGCAGGATCAGTTCAGCCGTTTTTTGGATAAAAGCTTAAGGGCCCGGCGTTGCCCGTGGAATTAAAAAAATTTAAAAAAATTTTGATTTTTGAAAAATAGAAATTTTAGAATTTGTTACCCCAGGATACGTTAGGCCGGCTTTAGGGTTAACATGTATACAAGTGTCCTGTTTTATTATTGGATATAAACAAACAAACAGACAGGCAATGAAAGTATATTTAGATAAAAAGTGAGTTAGAACTTGGAATTAGAGATAAAAATATCACTGAAAATTTTTCGATACAGACAGTAGTTTTTCGTGACGGGTGGATTTAAAAATGGCAAATGAAGTGCCGAGTACTGAATCGGGACGCATGAGCAGAATGAAAATTGGTAAAAATGTTGATAATTGTAACCCAATAGGTTGCTGCAGGCTAGAGAAGGAAGTTTATTCGTCCTAGAGGAAGTCCCAGCTGCTAATCTTAACCTCACTGCACACCCAGGTAAGGGGTTACTACCACGAAACATGAGAGTAGAAAGACGAATTAAAGGTCGTCTTTGGGTTTTGAAATAATTTGCAACATTTCTCTTCCCAAACTTATTTTTAGTAGTAAAATTCTAGAGTTGATAATAATTTTACCAAAGATATGAAGAATTTTGTTCAGATTTCGACAATTTTTGTTTTATTTGACGAATTAAAATTTGAAGAAAATTATCTATATCTCCGGTAATATTGACAAAAAAGGCAAATAATAGTTTGGAAATGCTAGGACTAGGAGAATTTTGTCAGTCAGTATTGTTTCAAGAATCATTCATGTAAGAGTGGGTAGACGACTGAATGTCACAAATAAAAATTAAAGTTCAACGATAAATTCAAATTCGTCTTCCTACATCATGTTTCATGTAAAACGAACGCGTTTAAAAACGAAAACTTGAAATGTCAAAATGTTTAGAAAATTTTTATGAAATAGTCTTTGAAGGTTAAAGTTGAGAGCCTACACGAAGAGTTTAAATATATAGCTAATTCTCCCAAGATTAAAAACCCGAAGAAGATGCTAAAGAAGAAGAGAAAAACATCATTTAATTTCCTTCTATGTTGAATGTTGATTGTAACAAATAATTAGCTTAAGATGATCAATTTTGAGAATTGCAAAAAAATATATCCAACCTATGTCCGAATTTAATGAATTTAAGCCGCGTCTCAAATCCTCCAAAAACCGGTTTCAATTCAGCGGCGGCTTAAATCTTAAAAAATGTAATACAATTTCAAGTGAACCTTATATTTGAGCCGCGGCTTAAATTTAAACCGCGGCTCAAATTCTTTAAATTCGGCCTCTAGTTTTATAGAAAGCATACGAAAGGGGGGAATGAACCAACCTATCCATAAATCGAGAGTCTCTCAAAATTACCTTGAACAATCCCTTTATTTTTAATTTTAGAAAGGATTCCGTCTACGTTGCTCTGTAGCATAAAATGTCTCGGAGGAAATGGTAAATCTATTAATTATTATTAATAAAATCTATTAAATTAAATTAAACGAATAACGGGTTTTTTAAAATCAAATGTCATTTTTGATAAATGAAGTAGAAAAAAATCTTTGAAATTAAAGGGTCTATAAGCGTTTTTTTCAAGTTACCCTTCATGAAAAAATGACAATGCCTGAATCACAACGGTACTCTTGAAACCTTTATCTGATTAATAATGTGGAAGATTTTGTCGTTTTTCTAGGTTTAAATAGATTTATTTTTAATAATTCCTGTATGTTTTCATGCGCTAGAAATACGCAGTTTAAAATAATCATTAAACTATAAACATTGATGTTTAATTCTAAACTTGATCAGACAAAGCTTGAAGGGTACCGTTGTGAATCGGACATCTATTGATTGAGGAGCACTAAAAATTACGTTTTCAGTCCATTTAAAGATTTCTTATGAGTTTTTATTTTGTAGCTAAATGTGATTTTTGATAAGACGATTTTCAAAAAGGAACTTTTAAGAAATAAACATTTTTAATAAAGATTATTAGACTTGCTCATAAAGGAATTGAGCCTTTCCCACACACTTGAATTTTCTAATCATTATATTTTTGAACCTTGTGGTGTAAACCTTTGATATATTAAAACTATTTAATTTGATAAAGTTCATAGTTAAAAATATATAAGGATCAGGTAGCAAAGATAAAGGGATTTAAAAATCAGAGTTTGTAACAAAGACCCAATTCCTCCTTTGCCTAACTCATCTGCAATCAAACATTAATGTTCCGAAACTGCAAAATTTAAGACCTCATATCCCTCATATGTTTATATTATATATTCGGAGCTTAAATTTCATCAACTCATATTCAAGCATACATTTTGTTCGTAACACCGTATTTCGAAAACTTTGTTCGAAATTGCGAGCAGAATGTTAAGAATATAAACATTTGGAAGGAGTTTTTGACACTGATTATAATTTCTAAAAATAAATAAATTTTTGCTAATAAGATAATAGGTTAAAAATATGCAAATTAAAAAATAGATCTAACGATTAATTTTACCCTCGGCCCTTTTTAGACATGGGTAGCGAATGCTATGTGTTTTCTTACGATAATGCAACACAGACTTGTTCTCTTGGTAACCTAGGGTAAGGATTTAATAAACCTACAGTGGTGACCAGAAAAATGTGGAACTATTGACGAATTCTCTCCTTTCTGTTAGAATAAAAACCGCCAAGAATTTTGTGATTTTTAAATGTAATAACTTTAAAATTATTAATATATTTGAAAATGTTTAAGATGCAAGTTTCGAAATAGGTTACATCTTCCAAACATTTTAGCAACTTTTTAAAATCAAAAGAAAGAAAGACGACAAAAAATCCTATTTTCTGTATCAAAGCTAACAAAGCCAGTAAAGCCAGTAAAACCAGTAAAGCCAGTAAAGCTGCAGTAAAGCCGGTAAAGCGAGTAAAGCCTAGTATATGTAGAAGACATTTCATTAAAAGATTTACAAAAAACTCATTTCTCACTTTTATTTTTCATCATTCTTGTTTGAATTTTGAGGTGAAAATATTTAAATGGAGATAAGTCTAAGAAGTTTAAATGGCATTATTCTAAATCAAATGCATATTCAGCACACATTTTCGACCACAAAATTGAAAAAATAACACTATGTCTTTACTTTTATTATAAGAAGGTCGTAACGAGTTTTAAAAGAAGTATTGCAGTATGTTTTTATTTTTAAAATTTTTATTATCTTAAATATAGTTGAATAGGCTTTTCAGCTGCTCCCGTTGTATCATTGTATGGTATGGTATGGTATGGTATGGTATCATTTTTGTTGTATTACAGTATGTAAATCACGGTGGACGAAGCCAGTGGGGTCGGTCAAATAGGCCTAAAATTAGGCCGGGTACTGTAAAAGTCTGAACGCGCCATGGGGATTGTCATAGTTAGCCCTCCGACTGGACTATGCCAAGAAAATTGACCCATGTCGTATGTTAGTCTGGTTAGGGCGACGTACTGTACAGAATATTGAACCGGGCTACCATAGGATTGGGTCAGTACACAGTACACACTGTTATCTGACAGGCCGGTACAAACTGGGGCCTGGGCAGGTCCTGTTCGAATTCAAATTTACTATGACCCAGAGTGAAATGTAACAAAGTAAAGGGATAAAAATCAGCCAAGGCATTGTTAAAAATCCGCAAAATCATTGCACTATTATATCGAACATTTAAATATCTAATAAGATTGTTGATACCCTATTTAAGTAAGACTCACGTGGGAGGGTTCCCCTGGTCAAAATAATAAAAAAGTTAATTGCTAATTTAAAAAAAAGTTGGGCCATTAACCATGTAACATACTAACATAATTTTTTAAGAATGATATATAAATTGTCAATTTTTGAACCAATCATTAGAAGAAATACATTTACCAAAAATCTTTAGATAAAAATATGTATTTGATAAATTAACATGAATATTGTTTTTAAGTAAATATTTTAGGGAACTTGATAATAGTGAGGTTGATAATACTACAACCCTAGTATGGAAACATAAAGGTATTGTTTTATATATTAACTAGATTGGGAACCCAGCAGTGCCCAGGTTACTCAAAGTTACTCCGTAGTTTTCCCAAACATGGTCTTAAATTACAATTTTAGAAATTTCTCCCTCTTTGAATATCAAAAACAAGCTAAAAACATTCCAGTGATTCTACCGAGTTCCCCAATCCAAATTTGAGGCAAATCAGTAGAATGGGTTCCTAAGTTATGATCGGACATACAAACAAACAAATAGAAAAACAATGATTACAAATTTTTATATAGAATAGTTGAAGGGCCCGGCGTTAACCGCATTTTATTTATTTATCTATGGTTAACCGTGGAAAAACAAATTAAAAAAACAAAATTTGAACACCATACAAATGTCTTATTTTATTATATAGATAGAATAGCTAAATGGCCCGCCGTTGCCCATGGAAAAAAATGTTGAAAAAAAATTTCGAATTTCAGCCCAATCGGTCCAGCCGTTTGGCCGGCTATAGACAACATATGTATATACGGATGTCTTGTTTTATTTTATAGATTATCTGTTTATAAATTTTACATGGCAAAAATAAACCAACATTTAATGTATTTGTTTTAAATATCAATCTTAGCTTTTCATTGCTAATTGCTTTATTTGCTTAATATAATAATGATGATAAAAATAGAATTTGAAAATCTATTTTTTCACAGAAATTTTTCTGGAGTCATGTAAGGTCCAACAAAAATTTTGGCCCGGTCGATTTTGCTATTTTAATGTTTATTGGACACAAATAAACAAAAAACCAAACAAGCAAATCATTCATATACTTTCTCAATTACAAGGATGCATTGCTCCTGGTAAAAATCCCCGGTATGGAAGATGGTACTGTGTCATGAAGATCAAAACAGGTTTAGGATAAATATTTAATTTATCCAAAATATCCATTTTATCTATTTAAAGGGAATGTTCATTCTTTCGTTATTTTTTGTTGCTATTTTTCTTAAATTTTTCATGGACATACCATCAATGGGCACTTTCATGTCTTTTTCTTTTTAAATTAATAAATACTTTTATTCAACTGCCTTGTGTTAAAGGACAAACGTTTTTTTAGTTTCAGCTCATCTTGTTTTTTGTTCTTAAATTAATTAAAATTTTTTAATTTAAACCTAAAAACAATCAATGAGTGAAAATCACATTAAAAAACATAATATCCCATATTTTTTAGCTTTTAAACAAAATCTGTAAAAAATGTTGAAAATAATAGCTCATGGACCAATGAAGAAAACGAAACATTCCATGATACATTCTGATGAACAATGTTCACTCGCGAGCCGGTCAAAGCACTAATTTTCTTAATATCTCAGCTTTCTGCAAATCCATAGAATTTGCAGTAGTGCTAATTTAAAGATTAATTTAGTTCAATTATCAATGGTTTAAGGACCTAAAAGTAAAAAGACAGTTTTTTTCATGTCCTCCATTTATCTACACTTACCAAGGCTTATTGTATTTAATTTCATTTTTTTATTTTTTTTATTCTTCAAAAAGCACACTTTCCCAAATGATAACACGAATACTGATGGGTGAGATAGGCATTATCATTTTGAACCCCGTTATTAAACATTCAAAGTATTTAGGCTTTTTAAAGGCTTCACTAGAATCTGAAATACAATTTCTATTTTAAAATTGCATTCTAGACAAGTTGGCTTCTTTTACACAAAGCAAAATTTTTACGCTGTTCAAAGATATTGAACTAAACGATTTTTCAAAATGTTAAACGATTTTCTAATCGTTTTGAAAAATCGTTTTGGTAAATATCTTTGATCAGAGTAAAAAAAACTCTCTGATTTTAAAGATTAAAAACTTCAAAAAGGTCCTCAATACGATGCCCTCCAGTAAACACAAGACCGTTGGATATGTAAATTAGTTTAGTTCAAGTTCAATAAAATATACAAAAGAAAACCTGTTTTGTCAGTATAAAATGTTATTACTTTAAGGATCACAAAATCGTCAGTAAAAACGTTGGGAACATATTCTCTCAAAATTTTTAGAACAAATAATTCAGATTTTTATCCCCAAAACAGAAAAAATTTGGGATAGCAATTTTCTGAAAATTAAACAACGAAATTGAGAATTTGCCACAAATTCTGATTTTCTAATCTTTATACTTGTGAGACTGTACAACCCAATGTTGAAGACCTTAGTTATTTCAAGTCATGAATTCTGTTAGATTAATAGTCTTAGTTTGAAATATCGATGGTTTACACCATTAGGTTGCATCGATATAGGATTCGAAAATTTGAGTTCAATTCATTTTATTTAGAGCGCTGTTATCTGGTTTGTAACCCAGGATATGTGCCAAAATCGTATAGAGGTAACTAATTTAATAATCTTAAATTTTTCTATGTTTTAGTTTTGTAAAGACAAATACCTCAAATATAAAAATACGAAGTTTTAGCATTTTAAAATAATTTTCCTAAATGGACCAGTTATTTTTTGTTTTTCCTCTAATATCGGCCTTGTTTAACCATTCTCTGCTTAATTGGGTTAATTCTGTCAATTGTTGAGAGATTTTCAAACATTTGGAAAATTAAATTTTGATTGTGACAGAATTTTTTGTTTTTTGATGGTCAAAAATTCAAAAAATGGTGGAAAATCTTGTCTTTTTTATATTTTTCATCAGCTCAGTGGTTAAACTATTTTTTTTTCAAATATAACACCATACTATTTAAAAGAATATTTTGCCGGTTTAGAGATAGCCTAAAATATTATTTGTTAACATGTTTAGAAGCAAATGTGTAAGGTATTGGCCAACATACCATAACAAAAACTTAAATTTTTTAATCCCTATACTTCTTTGCTACCTGATAGTGTAAACCTTTGATTTTTCAAACTCTGATTATTTGATCTTACGGAATTCTTTGTTTGAAATATCTAAAGTCTACAACATTTTTTTGCTTGCAAAGTGAGCAAATCAGAGTTTGTGGCTAAAACTCAATTCCTTCTCAGTTTTTCTTTAGTTGGAAACAAATCTTGTAAATACTTTTTCAAATTTTATATGGCCTCGTCATTTTTTTAACGCTTTAAAAATTATAAAATTTTCGTTGTTTTGCCATTTAAACCAAGTTATATCTAAGTAACAATGAGGAAAATATTAGAATTAATAATTAATGATAAATCATTTTGCACGAAACAAATTTAATTTAAAAACGACGATTTTCGTGTATTGATTTTATATCAATAATTGATTTTAAATTATTTAAAAGAAGTTTTAAAACTAATTTATCAACTTTAAATTAAAAAAAACTTTTATTGGATTTTGCAGGGACGACATTGTATTAATTATGTTGTGTTTGATTTGAAAACATTTGAATAAAAATATTCAACATTTATACCGAGGGAGACTCTTATCTTATCTCTTTAAAATCTCTTCTCTTAGTTCATCTAGCAGAATTCATAGTTTGAATGGAAAATTATAGTTTAGTATTTTTTCACAAACACAAAAAAATTAATCATTTAATTAATAAATTTGATCGGTATTTGTTGAAACCGCAATTAAATAAACATGCATTGTACATTTAGTAGTAGATAATTAGTCAGCTTTTATTTTAAGGTATGCATATTCATTTAACTTAAAAATACAAATTGATTCAGGAAAAGCTAAAGCAATGTACTGAGTGAATACTACTTTCTTCTTTATCAAGCCAGATGTAAATCCTTTATTCTTTATCCGCGTTCAAACTTAAAAGTTACAATCTTCAAGTTTTATTGTAACAATTCATAATTTGTTGAGTATTCCACATCTAAAGAATTATATGTACGAGCACTGGTACTAATGCTGGAATTTTCTTAAAGTTCCTCTTAGATTTGTAGATTAAAGATCTGGGAGTACTGGTTAACTTTTCTGTACTAACTGAGATATGTGTAGATGTGGTACAAGTTCCCAGGCCTTAAGTGGGATAAACGGGAGCTATGGCTCTAACATCTATCCTGTATAAGATCCTGGAGTGTACCACTCCTTCTCCAGGTTCTCTAATCAGCTTAGATTCATACAAAGGGTTGAGGGTCTTTAGTACTGCAGTCATATTCTAAATATTACACCATGCTGTAATTACTACACCATTCTTGTTGAATTTGATGGTTTTATTACACGTTTAGTTAATACAAGTGTCGAATCCTTTAAACAGAAAATTATTTTTAACTGTTAAGGATTGTATTGTAATTTCATTGGTAACCGAGCAGAGTGGGGAAGACCAATTAAGGATTACAAATGTCTGCCGACTATTCCGGTCATTCTTGGTGGAAATGCCATTCCCAGTGTAAGTAAAGGATAAAGTTTCTGTTGTACAGGGTACTCATATCCTTAAAAGTATACCTTAAAATGGATATGTCCGATGAGAGTAAATGATGGACAACCTATTTTATCTGCTTTTATCATGATAAATATAACGTTAACTCAACTCAATGATCCTTATTAAAGGGCATAATGGGATTATGGATTTTGAACCTTTCATAACTTTTAATTCTTTCCGTTACTTTAAAAATTAAATTTATTCAAATTGAGTCTTAATAATTTTATTTGTTGTTTTGGTGATTTCTTGAATTAATGTAAATTCTTTTCAGAGTAATAAAATACATACATTTGGACCAGATGGGCAAGTACAATATACTAAAGGCAATGGATTTCACTTTAGACAATTTGTTGTTCAATTCTTCAGGTAAAATCAAATACTTTTTAAAATCTAGATATTTATTTAAAATTCTATATTTATCACGTTACACAAGCTGTTGTCAGAGTTGGGTCAAAGATTGGGTCTTACAGTCGGGTTTAAGGAACTATAACGGTTCGAGCCAAAGTTTTTAAATCGTGGGCTCAGAACCCCCGATTAAAAAAACTTCGACTAGAGCCGTAATTCCTTAAGCCTGACTTTAAGAGCCAACTCTGACGACAACTTAAGTTGTGTCACATGATTGACAGCTGCAAGATCTTCGGCTCAACTTAAGGAGTTAGGCCCAATGAAAATAAAACAGACCTTAGTTGGTTTTAGTGGAGAATAAGGTTCAATGTTAAAGTCTTGTTCTCATAAAAACCCACAATGCGTCAATTCTTGCCACAAAAATCCGCCAAATATAATATTAAAACGGTTTTTTGAACTCATCTTAGTGAAAATAAGATGCAGCTTGAATCCTAAAGCGTTGTAAATAAGGCCCAATGGCAGCTTAGCCCAGAGCTATATTTTCCCGAATTTTTTAAATTGCAGGCTCAGCTGTTATTTAGGATACAGGTTGAGTACTCCAGATTACATTGGATACAGTTCAGTAGCCAAAGAAACTGAGTTTTTCCCAGTAACTCAAATACTCTATATCTTTGCAACTTGATGGTATTAACCTTTGGTACTTTCAAACTAAAACTGTTTGATCTTATAGACTGAGTGATTTTCAATTTATTTTTTTATAACAATGGTTTTTTTAAACTAAACAAAAGCCCGACGTTTGTACCATGTCTGACCTTGTATCGTCTGGGCGACTTTTGTGGGTCCGAAACGTACGTTTGTACTAGTACCTTGGAAACAAGTTTACCAATTTTCTGAAAAAATGTCCGAAAAATACCCCTCCCCATCCTCCATTTTGGTTCTTGATAAAAAAGATCCCAGATCAGGCCATAAAAAGATCCATGATCAGGCCATAAAAAGATCCCAGATCAGGCCTGCATGAAAGAAATCAGAGAGAAAACTCTAAAACATAGTAAGAAAGCCCTGTGTATGGAAATGTGGACATTCCCTTTTGTTCAGCTCAGCTCTTCTGTGACAATGTCAATAGGATGAGTCTGCAAATTATTTCAAAGTTATAGAAGTTTTGTGGTTAAAAGTTCAAAATTTTTTATCTCCATTTCCAAGGGAAACACAGACCTTGTCTCAAAAGTTTTCGAGGGGGGGGGGGGTTCTTTCAATGCTTTCTCCTGTTTAACATATTTTTACGCCCAGGGGTATGATAACCTACTGTGGAGGATATTGGGTTAGCTCTGGTTGCTACGGATTTAATGACTTTGCTTTAGGAAATAATTCAAATGATTAAACTACAAAGTTGGCTAAATATGATCTAATTATTTTGATTTTTTTTTCTTAGAGTTGGAAAGTTGGGATCTACATTCAAGCAAAAAAATATCAGCATTAATTTTGTTAAAATCCAGATTAGTCAGGATTTTACATTTTACTTTTTAAACCCCGCTTACCTGAGTCACCTCAAGGTCAATTATGAACAGCTTGACATTTTCAGAGAATAAATGATTATTATCCATATTATCTTGGAGCTAGATGGGCATCATTTTTGAGAACAATGTTTTTTGAATGAATAAATCTTTCAAGAATGATGGTGTCTTATAAAAATTTAACAAACAATCAACAAATTAATTGCAGATTCTTCAGATAAATTAAAAACATTATTTTTTTTTAAAACGAACCAAAAAAACAAATGAACAATTTAAAACTTTTAACAACGATTCGCATTTTGTAACAAACTTTTACCAAACAAAATTTTTTTAATTATTAATAAATGATAATTCTGAACAGAAATTAATACAAATTTTTTTCTTTTTATACACTTTTAATAAACTGTTATTTTAGTAATAAAAGCAAATTTTTTGATAATTTTTGTACACACATGATTTTAGTTTTTTTGGCTGGAATACTGGAGATTTTGGGTAGAATTAGGACAAAATTTAGAAAAATATAGACAGGCAGATAGATAGATAGAATATTTTAATTTAATAAAATTCAAACTGGATATAGGGTGTTTCAAATCTCAAAATGGAAACCATCGTTTTTATATAAAAAAAAATAAGAAAAAAACGTTTTGTTCAGTTTTACAATTTTCTGTTCATTTTTCAAATATTTAATTTGAAAACCCCAAGGCCGAATATGGTTGGTCCCACTAAATATTGTATTAAATTTTTCAAGGATTTAAGCTGGCGCTCAATTGAAACCGGTTTTTGGGGGATTTGAGACACGACTTAAATTCATTAAATTCGGACACTGAATATATCACTTTTGAATTTTTGATTAGGTGGTACAAATCTACAGGTAACAAAATGTGATTATTTTTATGCAGATTCAACTATTATCTTGAAAAGTATGAATCAAGATTATGCGCTATTATAAAATAAATCCAAACCTTTTAATGTTTTTTCTTCACTAATTGAGAAATCTGGAAAGTGCAGAGTAAAATGTCACAACTTTGTTCAAGTACAATCACAAAAAAAGGATTTTGATTGATTAATTTCATTGACTTTGCACTTTCATTGAGTAAATGAGGGCCTCCCTCATTTACATACTTGTATCTTTCACATCTTTTATTTGATGTTCATGATGAAAATTTCTAAATATAAATTTTATATTGTGCAGTAAGGAAGATTTCCAATCAGAATTCTGAATTGCTTTGAATCGTGCGCAATGATTGCTTCAGCTTGTGCTTTATAAATGCAGACAGTGAAGAAATTAATTTGAATTCGCTAGCAAGGGCGTATACAGAAATAAATCTTGGGGGGATGGCGAAATTTTTTTGCCCCCTACTAGAAGCTCCTACAGGGGGGGGGGGCAAACTTTGAACTGAAAATTCAAAAAATTTGGCTTCTTGGATATCAGGCATAAAAGTATAAGATACTTTGAAGGTACACATACAGTCCAATTACGTTGCAAGTACTATACTTATTTCGCCTTTAAACAAAACTAGCAGAAAAAACATGGTTTCTAAAAAGTCGACATTTTATCATACTGTTATGTTATTAATAATTAGTATTTAAACTAGAGATAGTAAAAGACATTTTTGTAAATGAAAAACTCAACTTAAACTTAAATTCTATGAGATGATAAAAAGGACAAAGGTCCAGAAAATAACTATGACTTGTAAAAGTTTCTGTTGTGAAAAAAAGTAGGGTCACAATTGTGATCTATATAATAAAGCTCTTCATTCATTTATGTGTTTACAATGGCTGGCCAAACGGCTGAATCAAATGGGCTGAATTTTAGTGAGGAAACTCATACACACCCTTGGGGATGACATTGGCTAAATAAATTATCAGTTTTTTGTTCTAATTTGATTTTTTAAATTCCATGGGCACTGCCGGGCACTTCAGCTAGTTTATAATAAAAAGAAAGATTACAAAACGGCGGTACAATATGCAAATAAAATTAAATTTAAATTAAAAAACAAAAATGGTATTTTAGTACCTCCAAACTCAAGTCTTCATTGCTTGGCATTTAAAAATAATTGTTTTACTTCGCTTCCCCTGATAGCGCCCATTCCGATTAGGATGAATGTGCATTCTAAATAGATTTTTCATTCGGACTTCTGTCATGGTGGCTAGCTGTCTGGTAGAGATGTCAACGATAGTGTAACGTAACGTAAAATGTACGTTTTTGTACGTTACGTTACAATAATGTGTAACGTTTGGATATATTCTAATAACGTAACGTTAAACGTTAACGTTAGAGGAACATACCCCCAACGTTAGCGTTTTGTGGAAATGTAACGTTATTTTTCTAATATCTGCAACTTTTTTGACCATAACGTAAAGAAATGTTTTGTTTCCAAAGGGAGCTTGAAAGTCTAACTTTTGAAAAATGAATTGTGATTTGATTGAATATCGTAACGAAAGGATTTCTATTTCAAAGTTCAACTTATAAAAAGTGTAACGTTGAATAACTGAAAAATGCGTTACTGTTAATGAAAACGTTTTGAAACGTTTTCCCTTATAGTATAATGAACAATTCAACGTTGCAGAAATGGGTTATTATTTTAATAATCAGGAAACGAAAGTTTTTTTACAGAGTAAAATTTCAATAATGTAACGTATAACATTTAAAAAAATGTAATTCTGTAAATCAAAATGTTTCATAACTTTTCTCTGAATACTAAATTGATTAGTCTAACGTTAGATATATGTCTGATGAAAATGTTGTTCATAAAACGTTAGACTATGAGGGCTGAGTTTTAATTTCAAAAGCGTAACAATAATTTTGTCAATCAAAACATTTCAAAACGTCTCTAATATATCAATGTAAGAGATTCGACTGATTATTTTAAGAGCAAAGACTAAAGAAAATGAGTTTATGCCAAAAACTTAGCTCCTTTCTAGAGTGTAAACGAGTTTTTTTGTAACATGCTATTAGTGAAAATTCAAATCTTATAAATGTTTCTTGTTAGAGAAGAATGTCTAAAGGAATTGCAATTTGTTAACAAACTTATATTTCTAATCCCTATATCTTTGCTACCCAATGATGTAGACCTTACATATTTTAAACTATGAATTCTGTTAGATAGAAGAAAAGGGTCAGCCTGCATTGCGTAAAAAAAGAAAAAATTAACCCTAAACTAATCTAAAATAATTAAGAAACTGTTAAAAATGCAAAAGTGGTTTGCCTTGCCGAATTTCAACTCATTTTATGAAGTGCCTAAAAACATGTCTATTTTTTAAGCTCGTCAAATACACGATGATAAATAATTTCAAGTGATCCTCCATTTTAAGAGGGCCATGCTCGATTCCCAATGGTAACGTGTATACCTTTATCTGATTGATGATTTGAAAATTAGGAGTGTTTTCCTATCTTGTATCTTGCAAAAAATAAATATGATACATCATTTTCTTGGATATGTCATGCTGAATTCAGATTCGAAAATCATTTTTAAGTATATTAAAATCTAAAGAAGTTATGGCCAAATAAATATGTTATGTAATGAGTAAAAATCAATGTTTTCTGTTTGTGCATAATTTGGCATATTTTTTCTCTTTTCTTTTGGAAACCTGTATTTTCAAAAAAATTTATTTAAACAAATTTAAACTACACCATTTATATATGTATTTATATCTTAGTGTGTGAATAAATCTTTATAATAACGGTACTAAATTCCGGTTTTTAAACTTTTTAATGTTTTTGATGAGTTTTTTCAGCTCAGACTCTCTCAATTTTCAAATTTTTTAAATGCTTTTCAGATTTGAATTTAACATTGAATTTCCAAGAAATTAATGTATAACATGAAAATAAAAAATAAATTTTTTTTGTGGCCTTACGGTGAAAACGCAGCGACTTCCGGTGGGCGGTTGGCTCTATTCCAATATTGATCACCCCTACTGGACAATGGACATGCCACTCCATAAATGAAAGGTCACTTCAAATTACGTCTCTAGTCCCTTAAAGACACACTTTGAGTTGAAAGTCTAATGCTAAAAACTTTCATTTACAAATTTTAAAAATCGTTAAACATAATAATATTATAACATGTTTATATTGCATAATGCATATTCTTCTACACATTCTCTAAAAAGGTTAACAATACAACAGCAACATACAGGGTTAGTAAAAAAATGTAATTATCACGGAAAAAATCTTTCAATGCTTTCATTTAGAAACAATATTATTTTAATTAAGTGTAACGTTAGAAACATTAAGGCTTGAACATCTAATACAACGCAACGTAAAGAACATTTTTTCAAATCTTTCTTAGAAACGAAACGAAAAACGGTTTTGATTGTCGGTTGTAAAAAAATGTTACAAAAAAGTTTTCACAATAACGTTTCGATAAATCGTAACGTAAGAAAAGGTGCATTTTAGTAAAATTTCTAAACGTAATTAAAAGAGTTTATATTGGAAAAGTTAAGATAAAACGTAACGTTAACAAAAAATATTCTTTGCACTGAAATGCATTGTAACGTACAGAACTATGCCCCAATGACGTTTTATTAAAGCAAAACGTTTGTCATCTTTTAGATCTTAAACCAAGTGAAAGTGTAACGTAAGGTCTCTGAAAATATTTACCTTGCATGAAAGTGGAACATTAAAAATTGTGGTTATATTACATAAGCTTTAACGAAACGTTGGGAAAGTTTTTTAAAACATCAAAAGCAAAAGCGTAACGGAGTTTACTGTTTTTTCAATAACATTTAATAAAGCTTAACGTTGTATAAGGTATTCAAGTGCAAAAAATTCATTACGTAACGTTACTCTATGCCATAAAATTTCATAATGTGCAACGTAACGTTTCAAACGTTAATACTTTTGATGAACATTATCGTAACGAAAGCTAAAATCTAGAAAAATCAAAACGTTGACATCTCTACCACGTATACAATTTTCTTAGTGCATCGAATGAACAGCAATTTATGTTTTCTATGTTCTTCACTCATCTCACTCATCAGTTTAAGAGTTCTAGGAGGGGGGGGGGGCTACGCTTCCCCTTTGCAGGTCTAGGGGGGGCACTGTTCACTTAGTGCTTTTCCATCTGAAAATCAATAATTTTGAATTGTGACTTACAGATTTACACAGAATACAAGAATGGAAACGGACAGAATGTATCCATGCAGATTTGCTAAAATCCAGAGTCACTTGAATTTTGTCAACATTTTCCTTTATTTTTTTTTGTGTGGTTAAGCTACTAGACAACAATTTCACATAATACATTTTTCCTTTGTTCACAAACCTACGGTTAGTGATATTGATATTTTATCATTAAACATTTATTAAACAAATTCCATGCAAAAAAATTAAAATTGAGGCTGTGGATGCTGGATGGTAAATATTTCCACATAGTAAACAGCTTTGCGCGGATTCTTTTTGGCGAGGAATTTAATTTTTTGTGCAGAATTGCGCATATTTGTGCTTGCTTTCGCAAAACTCTTTCTGTAGATAAATGCGGATATGGATGCAAATTTGAGCAGAATTGCACAGTTTTGCACGAAAGTTTTCTTTCACTGGAAACCCAAGACTGATATGAATAAAATCATGCTATAAATATTTGCACAGAATTGAAATTTTTTTCGCGAAAGTTAGCTTTCGCTGAAAACCCCTCGGCAAAACTGAAATATGAATAAAATCATGAATATTGATTTAATAATGAATATGTTCAGATACGAATAGATACAAGGATAGACAGTGCATCTGTTATAGTTCAGGATAGATATTATATAATAGGTAACTCGTAATAAAATTCATAAAATTTAAGATATTAAAACTAGTTAAGTACAATGAAACATAAGACTTTGAGTTGTTTGTAACTAAAAATACTCAATGATCAAAATATTGACGTATTGAAGATTAATATTCAAATTGAATAAATATGGGAATAATAGAGTATAATTATATACTAGTATTTCTTAAGTGCTTTGATGATACTTTTAATGTATGATAAAAATGCATTAAGCCCAGAGGAAAAACAGCTCCTAGAATGAAAAATCAAACTTGTTGATATTACTTTGATATTACTTTAAATGGGTAGAAAATAAAGGAATCAGATGTTTCTGCAGAGTAAATTTAAGGTTGGGTTATGTCAATTAATCCCATTTGTTGATTAGGAGGAGATAAGGCAGCAGCTTGGGCACAGGCTGAATATATTCTTGAAGAAGGTTGGTCAATCATCTATATATATTTAATAAACTTTGCTTGTCTGTTTTTATCCAATAAACGTCAGAACTACTAAACCAATCAGGCCCAAATTTTTTGTGGGACCTCGCGTGACCCAATGAAAGATTTATGGATGATCAAATTGTCAAAAATTTGCCTCAATGAAATTTCTATTTTTAAAAATTTTGAAAATCCATGATTTTAGTTATAAAATTTGCGAATTTTTTTTTCTTACAATGTACTCACAATTGAAATGGAAGATGGGTGCAAAGCGCCTGAAAAGTTTAATTTCATTAAGAATAATTTCAAATGGGCAATGGTCAGCCAGCCACTAGGTACTCCTGATAGGCCTTATGACTGTGCAATTTATGGTTTGTTATATTGATGTTTATGTTGAACTGAAGAGGGACACTGGTCCATTTTTTATTGAGATCTGGGGCAGGTCCTTATTATCATATTTTCCAGGCGGGGAGGGGGGGGGGG